TATTTTGAAATATTCAGATAAAATTGTTTTTTTAGTTTTTAGCAAAAATGATTCACTTGGCAGCAGGTTTTGTGGCATAAACTTCCATTTTGAAGCATTTCTGGGAAATTTTATTTTTTGCAATTTTCCGTTATAGTAAAGCTATTAAAGTCCAAGAAATGTCTTTAAATGCAGGTTTATGCCACAGAACATGCTACCAAGTGGATAATTTGTGCTAAAAACTAAAAAAAATATTTTATCTGAATATTTCAAAATATCACCAAAAACACGCCTTACTATAGCCTTACTGTCACGAAAAATGCAAAAAAATAAAAAGTCACAGAAATGCCTTTAAATGCAGGTTTATGCCAAAAAACATGCCGCCAAGTGGATAATTTGTGCAAAAAAGTAAAAAAAATATTTTATCTGAATATTTCAAAATATCACCAAAAACACGCCTTACTATCACGAAAACATGCAAAAAAATAAAAAGTCCCAGAAATGCTTCATAATGCAAGTTTATGCCACAAAACATGCTGCCAAGTGAATAATTTGTGCTAAACAGTACAAAATATATTTTACATGAATATTTCAAAATATCACCAAAAACATGCCTTACTATAGCCTTATTAACACGAACAGATGCAAAAAAAATAAAACGTCCCAGAAATGCCTCAAAATGCATTTTTTGAAAATATCTTTTGACGAAAACATGAAAATACAAAATAGAAATAGCTCATCGTCACCAAACAGCATCATAATCCAGCAGGTGGCAGGACAACAGGCTTTCTCAGCATCATGAAAAGCACGTTTCTGAAACACATTGGTTGCATCAAAGCAAACAAATGTTATAACTTCGGCTATGACAAGATTCAATGGCCATGGATATATATTCTGCATCGTTGTCGAACTCTATACAGCTATGTGCAGAGTGAATTTTTAACGAATCTCCCTTGAGATTTTCTGCAGTCGGTTGACCGATATGAATGTTCATATTGCACTGCATGGTAAACACTGGTACCTTCTACTGTAGTAATTTTATCCAACTGTTTTCTGTTGTGTGAGACTCACGTGCACCGCGTCGTTTCCCAACAGTCACCACCATGTCCGACAGAAAAGCCGTTTTTACACCAATAGCAGAATGCTGGTTCAGAATCTCCATCCACAGGTCTCAGCCAAAAGGCGGCGTCTTCCTATTTTTAGACACACAAGACACGGGCGCTTTCACAGTATCAAAACAACTACGCGCTTCACGATTTCAGACAGTAAAGTGTGTGCTACTTCTGCTAGTCAGCAGTTTGATTGACACGTCACTCAGCCTGTCAGCTACCGCCTTATCCACAAAGTGGACTATCATTGCTATGGACTGCACTGATAGACTGCCCATAGACAGCCACGCACATAAAATGGTTTATTTTCAATTAAGTAATGTTGAACGAAACAGTGGGACAAAGGCCAACATTGCTGTGCAATACAACGTAAAGTAGCACCGGTGGTCACCCTGGTTACACCACAGAAACAAAATTATAAATTTAGTATTTAAATCATTTTTTATATATTTTAAACCCTCCATTTTCATTTAAAACAGTAAGTAAAAGAATCACGTGGCCCCCCAAAAAATCACTCAAAGTAATGTCTGTGTCTAGTGTCTGTCAGTTTAATTTTATTTTTTTTAAAAATGAGGAAGATATGATTTGTTATGTAACAGCCTGTACAACGCAACATACAGAAAATAATCAAACTAAAATCAAACTAAAAATAAAAAATAAAATTGTACAAAGCAGCACTGGGCTGTAAATCACCCAAACATTTTTTTTTTTCACATTATTGACTGGAAGATTTCCTCCGTTGAAGCTCACACACATCTTCCGTCATTCAAATCACAGCTGCACTTTGAAAGTGTCTGAGCTTTTTTTGTTTTTGTCATCACTGAATTTGACTCATCAAAGATGTGCCTTTAAAAACAAAGTTAATGATTACACGATCTGCAGTGCGTTTGTACCAAATTGGCAAATGAGAAGAGTGAAAGCTGTTCACAAACAATCAGATGTAGTTTTTTTGTAGAAATGAGTGTAATGCATGTAAATCAGTGACATCAACGCAGCCCTAACTTATGACATTCACATGTAAACACCAGCAGAGATCAGGATTTCCTTCATTTGCCTATAGGCGCTGATAAACCGACATGATGGACGGATGGATGTGAGTGTAAACTATGAAAGGTACAGATTTAAAAAATAACTAAACTTTTTTTTTATGTTGTTGTTGTTGCTCCTATTCATTCCGCCACCATTAGATAAACAGATTGTTTTTTATTTTTGGATTTTGTTGTTCTCTCAGTCAGGAAGGCAACACAAATATACAGCCACGACTATAAGACGTTTAGAGTCTATAGGTCTTCATGTGTTTTAAATGAAGTACCTTTATGTTGCATAGCACTGGCAAAGTTTTTTGGAGTACATGGGAATTTAAAAATATGGTCAAAACAATCTGCCCTGGAGATTTTTTTTTTTTAGAACAACAGGGCTGGCAACAAATTTAATAAAGTTAAACTCCTCACTCTTCTTACTTTATACTTCTTGTAAAACAATTTCTCTTTATTTTAATGATTCTCAATGCAGAAACCTTGAAGCTCCCAGATTTAACTCAAATTCCTAATACAGGATAATTTTTCGGGGAGGTCAAACTTTCCGGTTTTTCTCATGTAGGAACTGATGCTGTGTTGTATACCAAAGTCCAATGGGGATAATGTGAAGTGGAGCGGACACTAACATTGAGCGGTGTGTGTGTAAACTTCTTTTTTTTTGGTTCTTCCAGTTTTTTTTCCATCTTAAAAACCTTCTTTACAAAGTCACAATCACTCTTTTTTGTGTCACACTTTTGTATCTTTTTTCAATTCACTTGAAAACTTTTTTTTAACCTGATTTTTTCCCCTCCTCAGTGCCAGTCCGTTAGCGTGCAGGTTGGCGGCCGCCCAGAGCGCATGTGATGGTGTTGAAGTAAGTGCTCCCTCCCTCAACCCCACAAAAATGCAGCTGATAAACAAACACATTGTGTCGATGAGAAGTAACTTTTTTTTCTCTTTACTTTTTCTTTTTTTAAAAATCGCCCACAAGTGTCTGAAACATAAAGTGCAGGCAGTGTCTGTTCTTCTTTGAGACCGCCGTAGCCCTCGCCTGTTGAAGGAGTCCGAGGGCCAACAACGAAAAACCAACAAATTAAAGAAAAATGTCAGTAATGCTGAATTGTCAACAGTCCTTTGCAGGGACAGTTGGAGTCTTTCGCTCAAGGCAGGGGTTGGATTTTTTGGATCAGTTTTCAGTAAAAAGTGTGAGGATGTTCCTTCACATTCACCGACCTCCTGCCTCCCTGCTCCCATCATTCCACCCGAACGAGGAGACCATAGAGGAGCGTGCCACCATGCTCCTTTGTGATCCACTCGATCTCCGAGTTGCTGAAACGTGGGTCTAGAGGCTCGCTGTGCCCCAGAGTCTGGGGTCCCACCTTATAGGAGCCTGGACGCACACAGACCTGGAATCCAACCTGGGCCTGGTGGGAGCGGTGAGAACGTGGATCCCGAAATCTGCAGGATAAGGGGAAAAAAAATCAGTGTTTCCTGTGCTCCTTTAACAGGAAAATAATCATCTCACAACACAATACTTACTGCACTTTGGGAGCAAAGATTTCTAGACCAGAGTAACGCATGGTAGGAGAGAGTTGCACTCTGGGTACCTCCCTGCCGGGGGCGCTGTTCTCTTCTGGCTCACTGTAGCCGTTCGGACCTTCCGTCTTCCCCGGGGACACAGAGAAGATCGACGACATTCCTGGCAGTGTCAAACATGTCAAATTGTAAAAGCACTTCTCCAGTAGGTGGGGCAATGTTTGAAGACTTAAATAACTCTACTAAATCCAACAATGATGGATCTTTAACTTCCTGTAATGAAAGACTTTTGTTTTGTTTTTCTGCTGGGATCTCACCAGACAGTAGTTGATTGTGGTCTAGTGTTCGCCGGAGAGCTCCCACACTGGAGCCGTGGTATGCGATGTGCCACTTCTTCAGTGCGTTGGAAACCTCACAGTGAGGCTTGATCCTGCAGACACACACACACACACACACACACACACACACGACTTTAGAAACACCTTCATGAAACAAGTGCAGAAGAACACAATAATTCCACAGTTTATTCAACAGTTCTTCACTAGTTCAACAGACTCATCCGTCTTCGTGTAACATACAAGTCATTTCCGTGTCTGTCTAGTTTTTGCTCTACCAAAGAAGATCACGTGTTGCAAAGTTATTTCATGGTGTATAATGAAGAAAAAAAATAATGTTCTTGGAGGAATCTGGTTCACACTCTGCAGAAGAAAATGACTGGCTGTGGAGGGCTCTTCCAACAAGACAAGGCTTAAAGAGTTCCTGCAAACAGTACTGAGCAAATATCAAATATATTTGTACTTATTCTCATATTTAAATACTTATGTGACATGTCAGTTTTTCCTCATGGTCACTGTATTTAAAAGAAAGAGCCAAGTCAAGCTAAAAGGCAACCACTATTAAACCCACCACCGGTGCTTTCACTTATTCCACTGCTACTATTAGCAGTGACTATTTCAACAGTGCACGCAGACCCTGGGACAAGTGTGTCAGTGCTTGCATGTCATGTTTCACCAATGAGGGAGTGATCTGACCTGAGGGCGAAGCAACACCATCCAAAGGGCAGGGCGTAGTCTCGGGGCGGCTCGCCTCTCTTGTAATACGCCTCATCTCCTCGGAGCTTGTGGCAGGACTCGCAGTAGCACAGGTTGTACTTGGTGTCTTCGTTGAAGTAGCCGTCTGATGGGAAAGAGATGACAGTCACAGTTTGGTGGGTGTAATGGAGGTGAGAGAAGGGTGAGGTGGGTGAACGTGCGGTGAAACTCACCAGGTAAAGTGAGCAGGTCTTTGAAGCGAGAGCACAGAGCCTGGTATTCACAGGTCTTGTTGGGGTTGACCTCAGGAGGTGGCGTCCAGCACACACTCTCTTTGATTCCTGCACAGCACGGAGCAGCTGGTGAGGCACTGGCTATAACAAACTTTTCTGACGCCACCCTGTGGTGATGTCTAGTAAACGTTTTTTGGCACTGGTTACACCTTGTGGAGAACTTTAATTGCTTGGCAAAAAAGGCCAAAAAAACCCCCATCACCCAATACTGTATTGGTTTACAAAGTAGGGGGCGTGTCAGGGCAAACTGTACCAACGGAAATAAAGAAAGCTATAACAGAGTTCAGTGAAGTTTTAAAGTAAAAGCTGTAAACTTGTCAGAGTGGACGTCCTGCAGAAGATGTTAATGCTGTACTGTAGTAGTTTTTAAAAAGACTGCTTGTAGTATCAGCTAAACACCTCACCTCACTGTGACAAATATAGATGTCATACTGTGATAATGTTAGTGACAGTTGACATCAAAAAGACACATGAGGAATGGTTGAATCCAAGTGTAATTTAAGTTGACCAAAATTCTTACCATTTCCAACTGTTGACAACATGATAAACTTTAACGGAACTAAATGTTGAGCATTTTCTTTGCACCAACCAAGAAAAACCAAGTGTCGCCTCCTTACCATCAACCATGTCGGCCTTCTCCATGTCTCCCTGACAGCGGCTCTCACCACTTTCTGCACCCACTGCCGGCACATTGTTGGTTACTATGGTGACCTGCAGCGGTGACAAAACATTGTTAGCACATGTTCTTCAACCAAGTTTGTATATTTTTTTAAAGCTAAATCCCACTTCTATGAATCAATAAATACAATTGGAGTGCAGACCTGTTCGCACTGGCCATAGAGGTCGATAAAAGGGTAACAAGGTGAAGGGATGTCCTGTGCTGCCACGCCCTGGTCCATGCCATTCACATAGAGATGGAGACAACTGTTGGCGTCCACCAGCAGACCCAACACTGTCTCCTCTGGACACGTGTCCAGGTTAGGTCCATAGTTCTCACATATCTGAGCAGGAAAGCACAACATCGAGTCAGAAAGTCCTGTGTGACACCACAGATGCGGTGTCTGATTGGATTCACTCACCTTCAGTGAGTTGTGGAAGACAGAGTCTCTCTGTAGCAGCCAGGCCGAGCGTTTCAAACAACACGCTGTGGAGGGGAAGTTGAGCCGGTCAGGAGAGTGACCGATCACGCCTAATGACAGCGACGAAGTCCACGAGGGGTTCAGGCGGTCAATCCGGAACTGGTAAATTGATAAAGAGTCAAGCACGGGCATACTAATATTTTTAAGAAATATAAAAAATATAACCCGAGGACTGTCAGTACCTGGAAGAGCTGCTGTCGAGCCAGCGGCAGGGCGGTGACCAGCAGACCCTGGTTGTAGCTGGAAACCCGGGCTGCCGTCAGGTTCTGGTTGGACAGCTGGATGTTTTTGCCGTGGTTTTCCAGGAAGGCCATGATGGTGGGCACCAGTGTCGATACCTCTGTCTCCACCTATAAGCAGATGCAGGTGCAGCAAGAAACATAAAACCCAAGTCTTCGTCAACACATCTGTGCGTAGGTTCTTGTATCTGTGCGTGCTCTGACCTCTCTGACTGGACTGCTGTCCTCCTCTCCTTCACTGCAGCTCCCTGAGGACAGCGACGTCTCCTTCACACTCTCCACGTCCTCCATCAAGGAGGAGCTGACGATGGACACGGCTGTTATCCTCCCATACAGGTCCAGCACTGCAAACACATTCTGAAAAAGGAGAGAAGACCAGTACTGAACACATGTTTAAAAAATACATGTGTGCATTTGATGAAGTGAAGCGAACCTTGGCCACTGCGTTAGCAGCAGGTCCCATGTCTTCTCCGTCAATGAAGATGTGCATGGTGTCATCGCTGCACCTCTTCACACCCACTCGGTTCCCAACCTGCAAACACACACCACAGTCTTCAGACCTGATCTCTGTGACTGTTCATGAGGACAGAGAAACACAAGAATGCTTCTAGATTTTTTTGGTTCTGATGTTTTCTCTAACAAAAAAATTAAAGTTAGTTAAAGGAAATATTATTAAAAAACATCATATCAACTTCTGTTGTTATGCAGATGACACACAACTATATTTGTCCATACACCCAGATGACACAACAGAATGCCTAAAAGACATTAAGAACTGGACAATGAGCAACCTTCTACTTCTAAACTCAGATAGATAAAAAAAAACAATTATAATATATATAGTGTGATGCCTTCACAGTCTTAGGAAAACAGGTTTGCCGTCCACAGTTAAAACAGTTTCTTTGTTTGGTGGAAACACTTTGATCCTTATAGATATGATGGCTACAGTATTTGAAATGTAATGGACTTCTTTACAGATTTTTAGGGCCAAAATAAATAAGACTATAGGTAAAGAATGTTGCTGCAGATAAGATATTGATCGAAGAAAGAATTTTCCTAGTTCTTCACCATAGTAAAATGGCTGAGTTGTTTATGTCCTGGCTAAACTAGAGAAGCTGAGTCACAGGCTGAAGGTACAGTACAAAAAGTTCCCACGGATCAAACCACTTGGACTTGACCTCCAACCTGTGATTTAAGCCGTGGCATTTATGAGGACTGTAAACCTGACAGGCGTTTATGTTCAAGGAGCAGAGGTCATAGCTCACCGTCAGCCTGTCCAGGGAACAGCCGTAGTTCTGACGCTGCAGCACGCCGTTGCGACGGACCTCTGAGCCGCTCAGCAGCCAGGTGACCTTGGTGCGTACATGTGGGAGAGAGGGCGACAGCCCTGACAGTGGACAAGAAGGCAGCTCGGGAGGTGAGAGCGTGGTCAGACCGATGTGCAGCGAACCACTCCACTGCTCGTCCACCTCATCAATCCTCACCTGCAGAGGAAACCAGACCAGAGAACAAATATTGATCTCTGCAACACAGAACACCACTGTATTTCAAGGCAGTTTGGAGTACGGTTGCAGCCCCAGGCTGAGTCACTCTTACCTCAAACAACTCGTCTGCTTTGAGCTCTTTGGCGCTGAACACAATCCCGTGCGAGTAACCTCCAACTCTGACAGCCTGGCAGTCTTCGCCAAGCAGCACCACGTTTTTACCATGTTTACTGTGGAGCCGATGAGCAACTCCTGCTACTGCACACACAGCACATAGAACGGACAAAACGTTTGTCACATGATCCCACGTACAAAACACTTCACTGTCATCCATTTGACTGTAGTTTGTTTCACCTGGTGAGTGAATGGGGAAGCTCTTCTCAGTGATGTTGCAGGTGCACAGGCTGTTGTCCAGTGGACCTGAGGAGCTGGTGATGGACACCTGGACGCACTGACCGTATAGGTCGATGACTGCATACACCTCTGAAGACAAGAGAGGGACGGAGTGGACGATGAAGAAACCTTGCAGCATTTATTAAGCCAACAGAAATTAACCTTTTAAATCTCAGGTCATAAAAGTATAATTCAGTCTTATTGAGTTTTCATATTGAGAAATTATAATTCCTGGCTAAGGAGGTGAGTTTATACATTAGCATTTCTTTAATTATAAATTTTGTGTTTGTCTAATTTCTTGTTTTTCTGTGTTATATGTTTGTGTTACGTGTTTGGTAACCCAAGTTTTCTTTGCTTATATGAGTAATATTACTTCCTAAAATTAAAATCCTTGATTTCATTTTTTGGCAACAGAAATATTTTTATGTCAAAATTAATTTTATTGTCATTTACTGCAAACTCTGCATTTATTATTAAAAGATTTGGTACAACTTTTGAAAAACACAAAGCCTTCTCTCAGGACCGACTCTTACTGACCTGAAGGCAGTCCAGAGCAGGCCACACCCTGGTCCACGCCGTTGATGTAATAGTGAAGGTCACCAGTAGCCGAGCGCATCATGCCGATCCTTGATCCTGTGGTTAGTGAGTCCAGGTCGCAGCCGTAGTTGTTACGCATCGTATTGCCGTCTTGCATGATGGCCGTCCCACTGTAAAATAAAGAATTTTTCATTTAAGATAAACCTACAGATTACACCAGAATTAACAGAAAGTAATTGTTGAAGTCTAAATGAACCTAAATACTGCAAAAATAAAAAAATTAAAAAAAATCATCACTACCTGAGCATCCAGGTGTCATAGTCAATGTCTGTCATCGTGTTTGGAAACTCAAGCTCCTCTGGTCTAATAGCTGTCACTCCTGGACACAACACAATGCAGGAATTACTCACAAGACGACAACCGTATGTAATGTCTGATGCGCTGTTATAAAAGTTAATGCCGTGTACCAGAGTGAAGTCCAACAAATGCCTGACCTGCTTCAATGGAGCCCGACCAGCGGTCCACCATCTTCTGTATAACAATTTCAAACAGCTCTCCATCTCGAAGGCACCTACAACCGAGACCAGATGGGTTTAGATCTTGACGTTTACGGGGTAAGTGATAAGCTGGACCTTGTTAAAACGGCATGTCAAAGTGACTGTCACTTGTTTGAACCACAACACACCCTGAGTAACAACATCCCTCATTGGTTTCTAATGTGCCGGTCAATACGGCCTAGTTTGAAATCAGTGGGTTGAATGTATTGAAGTAAATAAAATGTGCTCTTTAACTTTATGCCATAAGTTTTAAAAAACAAAAACAAAAAACAAAAAAAAACAAAACATGCACTGATTCAGAGAATGTCATGACATGAAACCTGGTGGATAAACTAATACATAGGATTCCATGGCTCTGGCTTAAAGTTACAGTTTTCTGTAGCTTGTTTGATTTTTTAAGCCAGGTTTCACTCCAAGTCACAGCTGTTTACTTAAGGTGGGAAGAAAAGCTGAAAAAGATAAGATAGTTAAAGGAATACCAATCACCAAGCAAAACAACATTAAAACTACACTATGCTCCGATACAACAATCCTTAGATTGAATCTGTGATTTAACAGAACGTTAAAAATAATTTTTAAACCACTCATTCTGTGAGCTAAAAGTGGGATTTTGTGACTTATTCATTTGAAAACTCAGACAAACCAATAATTAGAAATAATGAGACAAACGAGCCACATGTAGACAAGCAGCTGTGTGTCCTAATGAGCTAAAAAATGAGGATTTTCTCAGAAAATGTTCTAAAACTGGTGTAGATTTAATAAGAAGAGTCTTCTGGTAAAAAAAAACAAACATATATTTGTGACACTGTGGTGACAGAGCTACCACTGCAAGTGTGACTCATGGTGAGTCATCAGACGTTATTCCTTGTCCGTTTGATCACCTGTTGGAAATGACGATAGCATCGTTGAACTCGCTGCGACAGTTTTGGCGCAGGGCTGTGCGCCCCCCGTTGGTGATGACAGCATTGGTGCCGTGCAGCTGGTGGAAGCGCAGGTCGCTGGTCGTCGTGGCCCCGCCGACTGAGCAGGGGCTCCCAGGAGACATGGCCGTGGGTCCCTCAGAGCTGTCGTCTGGCAGAGGAGGGAGGTCGACTGAGACGAAGACGCAGGAGGAGACAAGAGTTAGTCAAGATAAACAACGGTAGAGAAAAATGTATTTTAATGTAAATAATCCAAACTATTGTCCTTCCTCTTCTTACCCATGTCGTCCATGATAGTAGCTTGGGCTGCCTGGCCATAAAGGTCAACCACGGCGTAGACGCTGGGAGGGACGTTCCATGCTGCAGGACCCTGAGGAACGCCGTTCACAAAGAAGTGGAGGCTGCCGTCTTCTTTCCTTACTACACCTACTGTGTCTCCAGCCTGAGACAAATCAATAAAAAACAGTTTGAAAAAGCCTTGCTGCAACAGTAGGTCGCTGACAGCTGAGTCATGGCTAATAAAAAAAATGACTCACCTTGAGTCGGTCCAGATTGTGTCCATACTCGTCTAGTATTGTTGTTCCGTTGTGCATTACTCCGTTTCCCGTCATCATCCACGTCCCTGCAGATACGTCATCATTAATCACACATTCATCACTCCTGACTTTTGTTGTTGTTGTTGTTGTTGTAATTTTCACCTGAGCGAAGGTTGGTCATGGTGGAGGGCAGCTGCAGATATGCAGGGTTGTGTGTTGTGACGCCAATCTCAATGGAGCCCGCCCACTTGTCCACCATCTTGTCGATGCGGACCTGGAACACCTCATTAGAGCGCAGGGGCCGGCTGCTCAGGACCACGCCGTGGTTGAAGTCATCGGTTGCACTGTAAAAAGAATGTTATCCTGTAAATTAACTAACAAAAGAATTTTTAATGAAATTTAAAAGACACATACACACTAAATTAATACAAAGCCATTTTTTTATCATAAAGAGATTTTTTTTTCTTCTAAAATTTCAAGGCCAACTACAAAATGACAATATTGAAAAATGAAGTTCACTTTTTAAGGTGAGTTAAAGTTTTTTTCATTTAGACTTTGCAAGAATTAATAAAATGAAGTCAATAGTGGCACATATATAAAATAATTGCATAGAAAACATGTCAATAGTTCAATGAGACCAAGGTAGAAGGGAGTTGAGAGGCCATGCACTCACTGCGGTCGCAGCGCCGTTCTGCCCTCACTGATGATGGCGGCCTTTTGACCACAGTTGTGGTGAAAGAGCAGACGGTCGACCCCCTCAGAGTCTGGGGTGAGGGAGAGAGATGGCCGCGGACGACCCACATCGGGGGACAGCGCCCTCATGATGGCGTTGTTGCGTCTGAGGCGATCACTGTGATTGTGGTTGTGAACAATGGTGACTTTCACGGCCATGCCGTAGAGGTCAACCACGCCGTAGACCACACCGGGCGTCTGAGCTGCTGCAACACCTGGGAAATGATTACATTTTTGAGAAAATGTTTATTTTAAGGGACTTCTGATTTTGTAAATTATTCTAGCTTATACAGTTTTTATTTTTTTTACCACGTATATAATATTTTATATCTTAGGATATAGTATATAAATATATTTATTCTGATTTTAACCTATTTTATTTGATTGTAATTCCCCAATATACCAAATACAATTTCCTCGTATGTGTAAATATGTAACTATAAATATGTCACTTTTAAAGAAAAAAACAAAACAAATTATTTTGGATTAAATTCTAGAATCAATTTTAAATTAGAATACTTTTTTTTTTTTATTCCTGTCACACCTTCCTCTTGTAATGAAACGTCTCACCTTGGTCAATCCCGTTGATGTAGAAATGCAGGGCTCCGCTGGCTTTACGCATCAAACCTATATGATCGCCCTCCTGAAACATGATGGGTGAAGTCAGACATAAACACACTCTCTCAACAGAATGAGCAGAGTGTACTTGTGTGTCTGTACCTGAAGTTCATCCAGGCTGAATTCACAGTATTCCCTGCGGGTTCCCTTCCCGTTTGTCAGTATCCCACAGCCACTCATCATGATTGTACCTGGACGATTAGAAAAAAATGTAAAATAAAAAAACAGGCAACAGTGCATCTACAACCGTGTAGTATTTATATCCTATTGGTTCCACTACATCTTTGTGTGTGTTGTCACCTGAGCGCAGATTGGTCATGGTTGCAGGATAGTCCAGGTTGTTGGGATTGTGTGTGGTCACACCGATCTCTATTGAGCCTGACCATTTATCCACCAGCTTATCAATACGGATCTAAGGAAGAAAAATGCTTGTTACTGTATACCTATATCAATGTTGGGCTACTTTAGTGGTTTCCATGTGCTGTCTCAACATTCTGTCATAAACAGTCTTAACAGGAATTATAAAGACAAGGACACAACAAACCTTGAGGTTGAAAAAAACTAAACAAAATAAACAAACAAGTAAAAACATTTTTTTAGGTACATCTGGAGAGTCATATGTTTGGATGGATAATGTAACATAAGTAGTTGATTCATTATGACAAAGTGTGGTTTTTACAGGTACAGGACATTTCTGCATTAAATCTGACCAACTATTAGCTTGCTCGCTAATGAGAAAAGCTACAACCTAGCATTACTGTCTTCTTAAACTGGAGACTAAAGTAATGACTGAGGAGTGACTGAGGAGTTATTTAGGGGTGGGTTAGAAATCAAAATTTGATTACGGTTATGGCTTGATTTGGCATTTGGCATGATTATGAAAACAAAAAAAAACGAGATAAAACGATTATTGTGTCACTCGTCTGATGTCAATGGTCGTCAATACACACTACAGCGCTGTGAGTCAATAGACACTTGTTGTCTGCAGTGCACCCTAAAACCAACCGACCACTTGGAGCAGAACACCTGGCATTATCCCAATGACCGAACAGAACAAAATGCACATGCGCACTATACCTCAGTGCGTTCAAAGCACCCAGGAAAACAGAGTAAACAGCAGAGCACAGATCAGTCATTTCAGTAACAATATTGGCAATAACACACAACATAACTCCACATCGCCCCAACAGTTACAATATTACTTGTATTTTTTTCACTTTGTCTTAGTTTATTTTCTTTGTCATTTTAACATTCAATAAAGTTTAAAAGTTCAGTTAAAGCAAACTCTCAAATCAGGGAATAATCTGTGATTTTAATAGGAATAAAAATAATCATGATTATGATTTTTGCCATAATCAAGCAGCCGTAGAGTTGTGGGTCTTCACTAAATCAGCATTTTTTCACTTGAATCTAAAAACATTTTTAAATCAAGAAGAAAATCAGTGTGTATCTGTGAAACGGTCAACACTAAGGTGTTCGCTCAGATTGTTTATCGTTACAAGACGTTCTCTGGCTTCATCCTCCTTACCTCAAACATCTCGTTGTGTCGGAGCGGCCGGTTGGTCATCACCACGCCGTTGTTGAACTCGTCCAGCGGTCTCCTCCGCTCCGCCGTTTTGTTGTTGTTGCTCAGTTTGATCAGTGTGCCGCACTTCTCGTGAAAAAGCAGAGCGTCATTCGTGGTCAGTCCACCGCCACCACCAGTCACAGCTGCTGGCCCCAACCCTCCGTTGTTGGCAGGACTGTTATTCGTATTCCCGCTCTCTCCTCCACCTCCACCTCCTGCTCCTCCTCCTGTTGACCCCGTCCCACTGTCACTGTTCACTGCACCTCCTCCACTGTTGCTTCCTCTGTCATTTCTGGCTGAGGAATTTGATCCTGTATTTTCTCCTCCTCCCGCTCCTCCTCCTTCTGTCCCACCTCCTCCGTCTTCCCCTCCACCTTCATCCTCCGAGCGATAAAATGATACTATTGCGTTGTTGAAGACGTCGAAGAGTTGGTGCTCTGTTAGAACTGGAAGATAAGAAGGTAAAAATGATCTGTGCTGTTTGTCTCGCTGATTGGTCATCAGCTGAACTGAAGGGGTGTGGGGGGGGGGGGGTTCTGACCTGTGTCAGGCTCCAGGTTGTTGGGGAACTTGTCTGGTCGGCTGTGGCTACAGTTGAGCTCAGGCACTGACATGAAAACAGAGCAATGACAATATTTTAACAGACAAAAAGACAAAGGAATAATCAAAAAAAGGCAGACGGAGAAAAACCCTTCTGACCTTCATCTCCATTCATCATCCCATTCATCGCTGCCACATTCATCAGCGCTGTAATCCCTGCATCCTCCCGACCACCACACACCACCACCTCCTCTTCCTCCTCCTCCTCTTCCTCTGCTTCATCTTCTTTGTTCCGCTCTACTGTCTCTCTCTCCCTCTCAGCAGAGGGCGGCGGCGGCTCACAGCTCACCACCGTCACTTGCGTGCACTTGCCGTACAAGTCCACCACTGCCCAGAGTTTGGGTGGCAGGCCGCTGGCGGCTGCCCCACAATCCTGTCCGTTCACCCACAGGTGGAGCTCACCACGGGAGCTGCGTTGAATGCCCACGCGGTCGCCCTCGGCCAGCTGGTCCAGGTCACGGCCGTACTCCTCCAGGACGGATCGGCCGTCACGTAGCACCGAACAGCCCGACACGATCCAGGAGCCGCCTTTGAGGCCTGTGGCGCTGCTGGGAAAGTCCAGGGCAGCAGGGTCGAGAGCCGTCACACCAATCTCAATGGATCCACTCCACGAGTTCACCTGAGGTCCGACAGGAGAAGAGTTAAAGTCATATTTATTAGCAACTATGTAATTACAGTTTAAAAGGTTGACAGCCAAAAGTACTGACTGGAATGTAAGTGTTTGACGTGTTGCTTAAATCTGAGTTGATTGATTGGAAATAGTTAGAATATCAGTGACAGTAGAACAGGTGTGGGTTGAGCCCCAGACAGGTTGAAGTCTGAGTACGGTAAGTAAAAACTGATTTGACATTTAATCCTAAGATTTTGAGTTTGAGCCCGACTTAGCAGTGCAGAAGTTCTGGTTACAAGTATAGACATATAAGATAATAAGATATAAGATAATAAGATATTCATTTATCACATTTAAAAAATACTACGGTACAGTGGCGTTTGATATGAACACACAGCTGGACATTTATGTCTGAGACTTTGCCCACATATATTTCGGGGCCTCTTTATTGCAAATGTGGCTGACACAGCAGCATGGGAGCGCAGGATCTGAGAGACAGCAACTGTCAAGCAAGATGCTTCTGTGGTCATCAACTTTCTCTGTGAAGAAACATCTGAACAGTGACACTGAAATGTGACAAGAACCGAGCTTCAAGTAGAAATACCTGCAGACAGAGGACAAAGTGTTTCCTATTTTACTGTCTATCCTGTCTGTTATTTTTAGTCTTTTGATCAGTGAAAAGCATCAAAAATAAAACAGTGGATCTTCTGCAAAGTGACGACAGCTTGAACTCCAGAATATACTTTTCTTCTTGTATTGCAAAAATAGGAAAGTTCAACAGCCTGACCTCTACAGAAGAGAGAACACTGGTGTTCAGTTTGACAGATTTTCTAAAGAATTCTTTTAGAAGAAGACAAAAACGGTGACCAGGACAGTTGTTCTGCCTGAACGGTTTTATATCTTCTCCTTTTATGAACTCAAATTCCACATTACAAAATATTACTTATATCATGCTACCACTGTGTATTACAGTTCTAGATCACAACATATCTAGGATTCTGATTTCTCAGCATATCTTCATTTTTATTTCTACTTCAACACCTGAACTGTCAAAAGTAGGAGGTCAAACGTAAGTACAGCTACAGCTGACAAGCTGACTGACACAACTGACAAATGGATTTCAAGCTTCTGTACAGTAGATAGATTTATATTAATGAGGACAAAATCTGAAGTTCTGAAACCAACTTGCGACACTTTGTGCATATACATGAATGACTAAAATCCACCAACTCCAAGATGCCAAATCTTGAGTGAAACTGCTGCATATTTTTCATGACATTTTTCCATACTAATAATTCCACTATTTGGATTGCAGAGGATTAATCATGATAAATCTTATTATTATTATATACACCATTATTAATTATGATTACTCGATACGACACTGCAATAAATCAGGTCAGTTTTAAATCAGTTGACGACCTATAATAACACAAGTAGTTTTCAATAATTTCATCATTTTAAATGTGAATTTCCAGCATATTTGATAGGACAACAAACAACAACAACAAAGGAAACATTTGAAGGTTTACATTGTTATTTTAACTTTCCAAAGAAATCTAGATCAACTAATCTTCAGATTAACTGACCATGTAAACACTGACCAGTTGCAGCCCTTTTATCAGTGTCTCTCCCTCTCTATCCAAATGTGATGCTGAGAGCATGCTAATGACTAAAGGTAGGTAGTCATGTGCAAACCCTGTCCTATATTTAGACACAGACGAGTGCAAGGTACACGAACAGAGAACAAGTGAGGAGAACACTGCATCTTGCTGGCATCACGGTCAATACTAACAAAAGTGCAACTAGTTTAAACATGATATCGATGGAATGTATATACCTTATAATAATGTACAATCCCTTTGTGAACTGTGGAGAAGTTGACATACACCAAGTAAAAAATAAATCATTGAGGGAAAAAAAAGACAAAAATATCATTGTGCAGTTGCTGAAGTTTCTCCTTAGTTTGAAACAGTTTCATTTTACCAACTTTTTTCTTTTTTTAAATGACAATCACAGATGGTGCTGTTCTACATCTGTGGACAAATATTGTGCACGCTGAGTGAAACAGATTTGGCAAAAATAATTCCCTCCCGTCTTCTCGGCCACCAGTGCACATCAGACAACATATGCACCGTGAGCACAAAGCATTTTTCTCCTCGCTGCAACACTTTTGTCTTTGCACGACATTGCTCCTGTATCACATAACAGGCTGGCTATCTGTTTCCTTCCAGAAAAAAAACCAACATAAGCTCACAATAATGTGATACTTTATTGATCTCCCAGGGGTGAATTTTATTTTTCCCTGCGCTGTCGGCTTCATGGTATAATCTGTACAGCTGGTGGATATTCAGATTTGTGCTCAGAAACACTTTATCACAGAAGATGCTACAACCAAGACAGGGGCATGAACCCATGTCATCCCAGAGTGGAGGAGAAGTCATCTTCCTTAACTCTATCTGCTGCTACCATGCAGACAACAATGCTGTCCTTCAGGCAAAAGAGAATTTTAACTTCCTGATGTAAAATACATTTCCAGAACACTGCTCTAAGTTGACAGAAAGCAGGAATTGCATGACCTTGAACGCATCTTCAATTCCTTACCAGCTCAGGAGATGTTTTAACAGCAGTACACCTTTGTTCCACTGGAAAAAAAAGATCCAATAAAAATGTCCTTCAGATCCAATATAACCTGGACAAATGGTTGTGTCCATTCTCTTCCTCTCTCTCATCTGTTTTCTCTGAGTGTCCTCCTGCGCTCAGCGGCAGCTGCTATGTAAGGCAGTGTGCTACGGCAGCGCAGGAATCTGGGTTAACAGATTTAGTAGTAACTCAGTCTAACCGAGGTCGCTGCGTGTAGGGGACAGACATCGTCTTAAATCGTTCACTCGCTGATGGAACAGCAGCTCGCGGAGGTTGTTTCTGAGTCTGTGTACGTGAGTTCACAGCACAGCCAATGGATGGACTGCTTTACACTGACTGTTCAAAACAGAGGTTGGATATGCACGAAAGAATCACACACGCATTGAAACAAAGGACCTGAACCATCTATTTAATATAAATTTCTACTTTTTTGGCAACTTGCACATATCATGTAGCTACTATTCTCATATTTGTTATTTTCTACTGAATTACAGCTACAGTATTTCTAGACTTGTAAACAACCAACTTGTTGTTATCTTCTGGCTAATAATTGGATTAACATTAATCGCCAACTTGCTTTTTGCTAGCAAATACTGTAGCTATGTTTTTGGGGTTTTTTGCTATAAGTGAATCAAAGTTTCTGACAGACCTTTGATTGTCTTGTGGCTCAAATTACTCAAATATATAATTAATTTCTTGGCTAACTAACAGTCTATTTTAGACTTTTGTCAACTTTTTCTGGACAGACATTGAATTATGTTATGGCTAATATTAATATACAAAATCCTACAGCTTGAGTAATGCTATTTGTTAGCTACCTTTAGCCATTAATAGAGTAAATTTAAGCCAGGATTTAGGTTAACATTAAGCTAATTAATTTTTACCTTAACTAAAGAGCCTTCTATAAAAATATTTTACTTGCGGGTTAAGGGAGTACAGAGCAGCTTTGGCATTGACTTATATGCTCACAATATTTTCCATTATTTCAAAATATTTCTACTTTTTTGGCAACTTGCACATTTGCACATTTTTCTTTCGTCAATTTCCCTGTGATCTAAATACTTAAAAGTTGTAAAAGTCACCATTTCACCTCTAAATGAATTTGTGTAATATAGGCTATACAACTGCTTTAACTTAAGTTAAAGTCAGTCATTTGAATCATTATGCAGCCTCTTCTGAATCCTCATTTGCTCTCTCACACTTCCATCTTTGTCGGCAGCCTTGGAGATGTCAGAGAAGAAGATGGGCATTCATGCCAATCTGTGCACTTTGTGATGGAAAGTTATTGATTTTCTTTACAGCAGCCAATGCATGACATGACAGAGCATGAGCCTGTTTATGGCAGGCAGCCTTTTATAGACTGGGAACACCATGAGACGACAAACAGACATTTAGGTGCTACTAACCTACAGATGATGTTCATCTTTACCAGCACTTATGCTCAGTCCCAGCAGGGTTATTAGACTTATTCAGACACAGTTCATGGGTGTGTTTGTGTGTATCGCCTGGTTGGCTCTGGCACAAGCTCGAGAGCTGCCATGCTGTTAAAGGCAGAAGCCATTACGCTGGACAAGTTTTGTTGCATTGTGCACAGCCAATTGTAAACACTGAACAGGAACACACCTGTTATGACGACAAAAGCACACACGTGTAAACTACCGCTCATAGTCAACACAAAACAAAAACAACACCTATGGTAAGATATTAGGGCAATTTAAAGGTTGGGCAATGCACATTTCCAAAACACTTGAGCATGGATGAACTACCACAACCGGCATTTCTGAAATTACATAACAGACTTAACAGACAAAAACTGTGACAAGGGACAAAATGAGTCCAGATCCGAGTCCATCTGCACAACAGAACATTATTCGATTATTTGTATATTCTATCGACACACAAAGGCAAGTATTTATTATGAATACTCACAGTGAGGTAAATGGTGAGGGGGAAAAGCTGCTTAATAAAATCTCCCACATTCATAAACAGTAAATTTGCAAAACTCCATGGCTGCATTGCTGTTTTAAACATCTTCTGGCAAATGAAAGCGTGTAATTTTCCTTCATAGTTGTCAGCTGACCCTGACCTTTCCCCTTTGTTTGTGTTTTCACAGCATCTTTCTACATGTATTATAACAACCTACTGTACCTTCAAAAAGGGAAAGGGAGAATGTGTCAAAACAAGTAGCTGGTGAAGGCTTCAGCATACACTCTAGGGTGGCCCTTGAAACTGAACAAAGAAGAATAGTGTCCTTGACATACTAGACTGTGGCTGCATTATAGGTTGAACGCGATTTAGAGGATACTATTAAGAACCAAAAACACATCTTCTCTTTGTAGCATATTCCACTGTTGCTAACATATTGATTAATCTGTTATGTGCTCATTGACATCGAGGGACGAAACTCAGCGCCTGGAAAAAACAATATGTATATTTTTACAATAGAGAATCTAGTGACAGAGATTTATCGTGTGTATTTGTGTTGGTTTGTTTTCACAAACAGCCCTTCAGTCACTGTTATCAGATCGTAGCACTGCACCAGTAGCCTCCAGAAGCAGACTGAGGAAGAGAGGCTGACAGGGTATTTATACTGCCATTCCATCGTAACGACAGCAAACATAAACACATTTACTCATTTCACCAACCTCCTCTAATCCAACAAACAATGAAAAGCATTTTCTAAGATTCGACAGATCTCCCGTAGCAACTCAAACGAGAAGCTAAACCCGGCTAGCCTGCTGATGATGATGGTGCTAGCGGCTCATTAGCAACTCTCAATCCCTGTGTCAAGGCACCACAGTCGACCGTATTTAGCTCACTGCTTCGTGTGACATTTTCTCACGTGTATAACAACACTTTGAAGAGGTAAAATCTGTGGCTCTGACAGCGATCACCTGCCTCACTGTCGCTGTCAAACTGTGGGTGAGCCGCCTCGGGCAGCTGAACCCCCCCTCACTGCGGTCGGTGACAGACCCCCAACCCGTCCCACCAGCGCTGCTCCCCATAATGTTGTTGCCGTAGCCCCGCTTAAAGGATGCAGCAGGAGCAGAGGCCTGCGGTTGTTTTGTTTACCTTCTTGTCAATGCGAACGGTGAAGACATCCCGGTCCCTCAGAGGCTCCTTGCTGAGCACCAGGCCATGGTTGAACTCCTGCACTGGCTGGTTGCGCCGGGCGGTGCGGTTGGAGTTGGACAGGCCGATCAGCTTTCCACTCCGCGGATGCAGCTCCGCCGCCATCTTCAACGGGCGGCCAGTGCTCACGACAGTGACTGTTTACGACTGCAACGAACTGAAATTCGGCAGATGCCGTAGGACTGCACGACTGAACCACGCCCTCATTTGGACCAATTATATACATTTATAAACTATAAATACAGTATGTTTGTCGTTTTTGTTTGTCTGTTTGTTTGTATTTGTTTGTTTTTAAAGGTTTTACAAAAACAAGGAAAACGTACTCCAGAACAATCAGGTCTCCGGGGGAAATAAATATCTTTCTAAGAAAGAAAAGAAACATACAATAATATTGTTTATATATTGTTGGTTTTATATCATCAAAGGTTTTGGGAATATTAACACCTGAATATTTTATAGTATTCCATTATCTTGTATTCCATTTACTTATTCCATTTATCTAGTATGCATTGTATTTATTGTATAAATGACAAAAGGAGAGCAAAGCTTCTAAAATGCTTTTATTGTTCTTCAATATGTGTACTGTCATTGTTTCTAAACGATAAGTAGTGGTTATGTAACTTTTTTAAAAGCTGTGTATGTTTCATTTAACACTGTCTAAGAATTACCACTAGAGGGAGCCCAAACCTTTACGTTAATCTTCTCTAGTCAACTCATCATTATGAATTTATCCGAAACACAACAATGCTATTATTAGTTATGGGTTTAAAAATAATTATAATATATTATAATAGAACATATTTTTCAGAAACACAATTATCATACCAAAGTCTGTTGGCGTAGCCAGGCAGTGGAAGATGTCTATTTGAACAACACAATAATGTCCAATAGTAAATACTCTAATAATAATAATTCTAAAAGACAATTAGCACAATTTAATTGAAAAAAACAAAAACAAAACAGAACAATTTGACAGTTAACTGGTTAAAGGTTGTCACGAAAGGCTCAAACAAAGATAGATTTTGGATGCAGAATACATTCCATTTACAATTTTAGCACCAACAACAAGTCACTTGTACATGTAGTCCACATATTATTTATCTTCTATGCAGGGCAACTGTGAGTGGTGACCGATTTTTGTTTGATTGCCAAATCAAAGTCCAAATCTTGCCCCTGGATCTGTATTTTCTTCAGACAGCCTGTCAAGAACTGAGAACCAATGTTGCCCTCACCTTCACCTAAAAAGTCATGTAACATAGGATGATTATGTGTTATTGTGCTACAGTAACAAAATGCTTCTTCTCAATTGTCAGATGCAAACTTTGTCATTGAATTTGTCACACAGGAAATTCCAGTAAAATCTTACCTAGCAGACTTCCAATAGCGAGATGGCCATGTTTCCAAATGCTAAAAATCTCAGGGTTGGTCATTGAAGTTATTCCTAAATCAGTTAGCTTGGGGTGTTCTTGAAAAACCTCCAGGAACCCATGAAATGTTATCACCACTCTCTTCAAAGTGTTTTTCATGTTTATCTTTTTTTCACCAAATGTGAATGTGACCGTCTGCACAGACAAAAGAAATCAGCTTTTACAGTACAGTCACCTCGGACTGTGTATAACTGTCTTGTGTGCAGTATTTCCATACCTTCGTGTCATTGTTGGCCACTAAAGTTGACACAACCTTCCATGGACCTTTGATGCTGAAAATTGTTCCATCCATTTGGCTGAAATCTCCCTCCACTTCAATCTTTATTCTTTCGTTTGATTCCTGAGGTAAAACTGCAAAAGTAAAAAAAACAACAAAAAACCCCTTCAATCTCCAGTAAAAAGGTAAAACAGATCATCTAATTAAACATACCTTATATATCTAATTATCTATATTATCTAAATAGACCTAAAGACAAACGCTATTAAATCAAAGCATATTTTACAAAAACCAGCTGCAAAGGGGACATGGAATGGAATGTTAGAGCACCATGTTCTCACCGGAGGTGTTAAAAATGGCATATCCACTGCCAGGGAAGTAACTGCCAGTCTGAATGTTTTCATAGCATGGCCACAAATCCCCTGCTGTCTCCCAGGGGACACTGAGATTCAGCCACTTGCCCTCACGCAGGCATCCGTCCATGTGCGGCTTAAACTAGAGCAAACAAAGTAACACCACGTTTAGAAGGATGAACTGCAAGACAAATATTAAGGACAAGGGCTGGCATCTATGTGTGCTGCAGAAATGTCAAGTATTTGTGACTATATGTGTCTGTTTTTTCCCTGACGTGGAAAGGATTTTTACAAAACCCTTCAGCACCTTATTTGCAGCTGCATATGCTTTCTTTGAGAACTGATGAGAGTTGAGATTCAACTTGACTGTCATATGAACAATATGACAATACAATATATGAAGAAACATGTTTTCTATGAATGAATAATGAAATTCTTACTCTGCTGTCTGCAAAGAACGTCAAACAATGAAATCAAAGAAGTAAATGAACAAAAAAAGGAGGAAATAATTGTGTCAACAAAAACACACCATCAAAAATAACAAAAACACAAGAACAACAATTAAAGGCAGCATGTGAATATAACAAAAATAACATGAGCAGGAAACACAAACACTTAATAAAAAGCTAATGTTTAACATTTTAGCACAAACAACAAGATTTTGATGAATCATACAATATAGAAAAAAAAGCAACAAATTATTTGCATTCATCCAGGACAGAAGGACATAAATATCTTAAACGGACTTTGCCTCCACTCAGACATGCAGAAAGCTCCTCTTTGATAACACCATCTTATCAAACAAAAAAATAATATCACCTTCAACTTCTGTAGCTGTTTTACCTGAATCATCAGCCTGTCCTTATCGATCAAGATCCCACCCACAGCCAGACGTAGTTCACCTGACATGGCCTGCTGTGTCCTGTTGCTGTGCATTCCCACCACCACCTCACTGGAGCCGTCCACCTCCAGAATAACAAACATCTCTTTGTTGCTCACCTCCAGCTTGGAAAAGCCAGGAAAATAAGACATTTAAATTGCAGTATACTGTTAACTGCATAAAAACGGATTGATATTTGATAATATTGTTTTGTTATTTATAAAGAGTAAGGAATGTTAACACAGTCATGTTGAACTAGTTTAACTGAAATAGTAATTAAGTATGCAAAATAAGAATCATTATTTCACAAAAGAAAAACTTTTTTGTCTCCTCCCCTTTCTCCTTCTGTGTGACCTCTGAGGTCATGTAACAGTGTCCAGGCACTAATCTCTTAACTCTTCAGAAACATTCTACTAGTTTTCTTTGTAAGGTTTTGGGAAACATTTCTTCCTTGGACGATTTTGTTCTATATTGTTGGGATATTTTACTAACAAACTGAAAATATTTTTTTTCTTCAACCGTATCATCACCACACACTTACTGTGTGCCATTTGCCGTCATTGATTTTGGGGCCTCCTGCCACACTGACGTCCATGTGATCCTGACTAAGCTGCATCAGGGGAATGCCATTCTTCAGGGACAAAACAAACCAGTCTTCTCCACCTTTGGTGTCTCCATAGAAAATTACACCCTCGGGGTCAAACGTCCGTATCTGAAAGGATGACTTGATGCTGCCGAATTCAAAGTATACCCATCAGAACAGGGCTACAAATACAGAATTGAAAAGTAATGACAGATACCACACTGAACCTATTTCATCTTTTCATTAGCTCTATGGTTATGATCTTTTTTTTTATTTGCCTCTCAAAACACAGATTTGCAGTGGACCTAAACCTGTCATGGTGCAGCATTTCACTGCTGCTGCTGACGTACCTACTGACGTCACTGAGGTTGACTGTTGCACGGATGAGCGGCCTCCAGATGTCACTGTACTGGCCGAGGTAGACGGTGGTACTGCCTGCTACTTCCTTCTGCAAGACATGAGTCATGAAATAACAACCGTGCTCTGTGATTCAGGCTTCTGTGTGGTCCAATCAGGTGTAAGTTAGTGCGACAGCTAAAAGTCTCTGGTACACAATAATGATGGCTGTAAACAAGATACCTTTATTATGACAGTCAGGCTCAGGCATCCTTACTACAATGAAATAAAAATGTCATATGTCTTTGAGGTGATCTGCAAGAAATGCAGCATTTGTCTATGTTGATTTTCTCATTAGAAATTTACACTTTTAATGTATTAGAAATAACTCTGGATTACAAATAGGAATATTGACTATAACCAGGCTAACTATTAGCAATTGCCACGTACTAAAAGTTAAACATAAAAAAAAAACGTAACTTATTTCTACATTATTTTTCCTCTCCTTACATTTTCTCTTCTTCTCTGGCATATTTCAACATTGCTAATGAGTTATTCTGGTAGAAAATCCTAAAAAACAAACACACATACCACACCACGTCCATTCCCCTGTCCTTGGACTCCCCACCCGAGCAGAGTGAGGCTCAGTGTGAGCAGAGTGAGTCTGTATTCCAGCCTTCCTTTGTCTAGTACTGCCATCATTCAGTGCATTCGTCCACCCGGGGTCTTGCAACATGCACCGTCCTGAGGCCAATGCAGATCCACAGACTCCAACCAACAGCAAAACGTCAGTGTTGGAACAGTGATAGAAGACACTGTGGAGCGTGGACTGGTGTGTGTGTGTGTGTTCTCAAACACACCAGTCCTGGGTTCAGAGTGTATTATATGCAATAGTCAAGTTATTGATCTTCAGTGGGGACTTTGGTTTTAAGTCGTGGAAGGTTGTGAAAGCGCAGGATGAGAATACACAGTTGCCTTAATGCAAACACAGGATGGTGGTTAAACAAGTAGACTATAAAGTACATGTCATGTTGTCACACATAAGCTATGAAGTACTGAAGTGAATTCTATAATTTCCCCTGAAAAAACAATCAACTCCTGTTTCAGTGTTGTCTCTAAATGGAGTCCAGGTGACTGACCTGAGCTAGACTCCTGGTATGTTTGCTCATTACACAGGAACTTTGCTACACCGCAGCTGCCGATGTGTTGTTTATCTGTGATGTTAAGAGGTTCATGCCAGGCATCAAGCAGACAAAGGAACCGGAGGCCTTTTCCAGGAAGGTTGGTGTAGATCAAAATCGTAGAACAAGAGGAGCGTGTAACCAACCACGTCAGGAATGGCAGTTGGGGTGAATAACCAACAAAATGTGCATTTTTATATATGTACGATGAAAGAAAGCTCAGACCAAAGGAGAACTTGAGGTGCACACCAGAAGAGCACATTTGTACACATTACTAATAATGACATGCAACATACATATTTTTTTTTCAACACTCAGCAAAGACCATTTTGAGACTGTCTCAAAGACCACTTTGTAGTGAAGATGGATGAGTTGAAATATTTGGCGTCAACTATGTTAAAGAGATAGCAGATGAAGAACATACATTCAGGTTAAAAAGATAATCTGTGAACAGAGAGAGTTGATATATCACTTATGTGATATCACTTATACAGAGAGAGTTGATATATCACTTATGTCTGTACCTATTAGTAGGTAATAAAGTCAGCTTTCAACCAAAGTTGTAACTCCAGGATAACTGTGAGAATTTAACGGGTTGACTGTGAAGTATCTTTAGGTTGATTTCAACAAGTAACTTTAATGCAATAATACATCCTGTTTTTATGTCTGTTCTGTTCACATGTGCAAACTAAACTGAGTACTATTTAGCTGCTTCAGTTTCAGGAGAGAAAACCAGACACTAGTTGGTAACAGGATCCCACCAGGCAGCTGGTAACAGTCTGTGCACTCCTCAACATGTATGTGATTTGATCACATAGAAGACTATTGTTGAGACTTAACAAGAAAAAATTTAAAAATTTAAACAATTGTTGAATGTTTTGAGAAACTACAATTTCAATGTTTTCTTCGATTGAAATTAATAGTTCTAAGCAGATTATTCCCCCAAGAACCACTGAGGGTCGCTATTGCAGAAGCTCCCCATTTCAGCTCTTAGCTTTGGCAAGAGGAAGTTGTTTTGTTTTGGGGTTTTTTTGGGGAGGGGGGGCGGAGGGGGGGGGGCACAGCATATGTACTTTTTAATACACAGAAAATGTAGGCAACAAATATGTTCGTATAACAATAAAATAAAATAAAATAAGCAATGAAAATGTACAACCCAAGATACAATGCCAGATACAGCGGTGGGAATTAAGGCGGTGAGGATATTAAGTTACCACTACAGTCAATGAGAAAGCGAATGCACTCATGCCAATTAACAATTAACAATGTGCTCAGAGGACGTAGAAAGGACTTCAACTATTGGTTGTTCTTTAAACAAAACATTCAATGAACACATGAAACCAGGAATCTGCCGATTTAAAGCACATGGCTCATACTATAAACTTTAAATGAACCCAGATGTAGGAATTAATAGAGACATTTAAAAAAAAATCCACCAGACCAGACGAGAGCTAATTGCATTGGGTCATCAGGTTAATACTTTATTTTTGTTTGATTGCAGCAAAGAGAAACAAAGTAGATGGAAAGGAGAGAGGAAAAGGAGATGACAGACTTCAGGGGGAGAGGGCCGTGGCTACAAGCCTTTGTATCAAATCTAAAGACAAAGTCATCAGGCAACATTGAAACATCTTTGAAAAATAACATTAACTTATTTTAAGGGCTGTATATGGCACAGTATTTACCCTAGACATGTACACGATACCAAAACAGTTTTAGCCACGCCCCTATGTCTATGAACAGCATCATCGCAAACAAAGCCATGAGATCATCTCCAAAACCTTCAGTTGCTATTCACATTTCTTTTGCCATAACAAGGCACCTTAGTAATTGAAATCTGGCAGATCCATGTCTTACACTTGATATATATTGGAATATCAAAGCAGAGGCACATTCATTTGAACAGAAAACATACAGTAAATAGTTGTATATTACCACCAGATTCCAGTCCAGTCAATAGAAATACGGCGATTTGCATGCTCTTGGTCTGTGTGATGATGGCAGACTATGGCATAAGAAATGGTCCAAAAACCACAAACATATCCATCTAACAGGAATGACTTCACATAGTATATTGGAGACAGCAAGGCTTTAATTTTTTACACTGTCACTAACCCACAGAAGAAAAAAAAGTGTCGAACAACAAAATAACAACACTTGGCCCATATACTGCCAAGGGATATGCTTCTCAGGCAGAAATAGTTTGGTTTTCCATTTTACACACTCACTCATTCATACACACACACACACACACACACACATACAAAGGCTTGTAACCACACCCAAGGGGATGCTTGTGTGCCCCCTTCAGTTGGTCACTCTGGTGTTCTAAACACTCCTGTCTGATCCGAATACCGTCAGCTACATACAAACACACACACACGCACACACACACACTGAAGTATAATCTATGTACTCTGTTCAGAGGTACCGTGTGCTAAGTGTATGCTTCAGGGAAGAGAGAGAATAATACAGGTCCTAAGTAGCAGCTGTGAGATTTAAATGTAGCGGCTGGTTCTGTGGAACTTTCCCAAAACTATGATTATTATAAAAAATATTAATAAGAGATATGGAAGATGAAAAGTGTAGGAAATATTTGGAAGAAAAACGGAAACAAAAACAAAAGCTGTGCGCACAGTGCCAGATTTGCTGAGGATATAAACGGTAAGGAAGCAAATGCTGCTCATGCTGTGTGGATACAGAACCCAAGTTTACTGACATGTTTCTAGGACTACTGTATATATGCATACCAGACGTTATACGGTTCTTTAACAGGTTATTTGTATCAACAGAAACAAAGAAAATGAACTGAAACTGACTCTACCATTAATGCAGCTGTACTTCATTAACCTTAGGACTAAATTTACATTCATCTTATTTTTTTTTTATATTTAACTTTACTCCCGCTCCTTGTCTTTAGCCACCTCCTCCTGGTGAGGGGGCTAAACAACATAAACAACAGCAACAACATAGTTCAACAAAACAGACAGATAACAATACACAACATAAAAAGGCCCCCAGTAGGGCGTCTGGGGAGTTTTGGCCACCACTTTGGCTGCACACCTCAGCCTTTTACCACCACTTATTTGCCATCACACGAGAAAAGGAACACGTGATTTAGTCTCCAGATCACTTGTGTGGGGTTTCTGACTTAATGTCCAACTGTTAAGTGCCCATAAATTGCTTCTTCTACTCAGTACCCTGAATCCATGTATTTACTTTTGCTTGCTGTCACTTTCCTCCTTCTGGAGACTGTTTTCCTCTTTCAATCAAGGTAGTAAAAGCTACACAAGGTGAAGGCTGACTGCTTTTTTTTGTTTGTTTTTTTCGTTTTCCTCTTTCTTTGCAAAGGAAAATGAGATGAAAAATGGGAAGTGCAACGGTCTACCAGCCTTTCATTCTAACCCAGTGGCCAGCTACATATTCATATTCAAGCAGCTACAATTGCCCCCTTTATAAGTGACAGCTACTCTATTTTGTGCACATAAAATACAAACTATAGCGAATGATTTACATTTCCTACAGTGTCATCTGGCCTTAAAGTAACACGGTTAGAAGCTCAGATGATCTGTCATTGTCCTTGTCTCCATTTTGAGACATATAGTTGTCTTTTAAAATTTTGGATAAAAGGAATCCAAACGCACTTCTATACCATTAGCCTACTGTAGTCACTCTCACCAAAGTAGGAATGCTGTGTGCGTCATGACAAGGAATGATCTGGCCATTCATGCACCTCCTCCAATCGCTCGCACACACGCCCAAAATCAAACATACGCTCTCACACGAACAGCAGTAGCTGCTGAAGACGTCCTCTGCATGCACAAGTCTTTACATACATGTGCATGTACATGCTCACATATAACTTTCATTGAACAAGAGTTCACGTCTTATCATCTATCGTTACCCACACAAGCCTTCCCTGAAGAGTTTTCGTCCTCGTTTTGCAGTGACTATAAAGGGAAGCAAATTGAATAAACTATTTTTTTTTCACACACACACCCTGGTTAGCAGTTTTTATCCTTAAATTATAGGTAAAATGAGTCAGAGAGGAAGATTACTCAAGCTCCCTAAAACTATGACGCACTACAGCAAGACAGGAGAGTTGCACAGAAAGGTGGTCAGCAGTAAAGAGCAGAAAGTCGTGGTTTATCACCCGATTCTTTTCTCTGCTTCTTTGCTCCTTCCTTTCCCTTCAAGCATACTCCTGATTTAATGACTAACTCTGATCTCTACTCAGTAAAAAACATACAGGGATACTGTGTGAGTGCAGTCAGTGACCCAGTGAGCACACACCCTGCCCACTCATCCAAAACAGGCCAGGCCGTCCCCTCTGGAATATATTCCTCATAGTACTTCAGTTGTCCTATGGTTTGCTGCCGTTACTGCTGTCCCGTTGCTTCTTGCTGCTACCACTGCTGCTGCTGTACAGGCTGGGATTTGCCACCAGAGGGTGAGGGGCTGCACCCATGTAAGGCCCAGCCGTGGCTGCGTAGTTGAAGATAGCTGGAAGGAAAGGCAGAGGTTCTACCTTGTCCCCTGGAGGTGCCATCATATTCAGAGCCACAGGAAGAGCTGCCAAGTTATAGGGGTAGGCAAGCAGCTGTGGCCCATACAGCAGCTGGTAAGGGTCTGGGTAAAAGGGTAACTTGGCCAGGTCCTCACCATTTGGAACCATTACTTTTCCCAATGGGCTAAAGGGAAGAGCTCCAGCAGAATAGGAGGACATGAGCAGGTTCTCTTCCTGCTTTTTATCTGAGCGGTAGCTGTCCGGCACAATCAGGGGCAAAGGATAATCCTGGGAAGTGTAGCCCACAGTGTTGGCGTTCCTCTGCTGTAAATCTCTGGAGGAAACAGTGTCCTGGTGCTCCGGCTCAGGTGGCTGAGGGGCTCGGGGCAAAAGCAGTGCATGGGCAGAGGGACGATCACAGGCCCCAGCTGCTCCAGTGGGCAATGGAAGCCTGTCCAGTCCTTGTGAATGATGGTGAACCTGACGATTGGATGGAGCTAATAGTCCAATAGCTGTCGGGGAACGACACGGGGACTTGGGAGTGTGCCGATGTGAGCAGGGTCCATTTATAGTGGTTTGAATGGGGATGTGCTGGGGGGATGACACAGGACTTAAGGGCTCTTCTTTAGGGACCAACAGCGCAGGCTGTTCTTCTGGGAGTCTTCTTAAATGTAAGGCTATCTCTCGCTCTCTCTCCCTTTCTAGCTCTTTTTCTTTCTGTCTTTCTCTTTGTCTTTCTATCTCCCTCTCTTTCTCTCTCTGTCTTTCTAACTCCCTCTCTCTCGCTAGTATGGAGGACATTGTCAGGTCTTGTGCTTGTTCGGGGGAGGGACTCCTGGACTGTGACTGAACACTCAGATCTTGGACCAGAGGTTGTTCCTCATAACCTGTGTGTTGAAATATACAACTCCCACCCTGCCTTTCCCTGTCTATAATGACCCCATCCCGTTTCATGAATACATCCTCAGAGCAGGGAGCTGTTGTCATGGAAACAGTAGCAACAGTAGTGGTTATTCTGGTCTGTGACGCCATGGGCACATTTGGAGAGGTGTTGTTGGATGCCATGACAAGCACAGGGCTGGGTATTCTGTGGATTTGGCTGTCTAGGTTCTTTCTGGTGGGGGTGCGGTAGTCCAGACATTCTGCGTTATTCATGACGAGCACACTCTGGACAGCAGAGGGCGTAGCAGGTGTGAATTCATGCTTAGTGGGTGTGAGGTTAACTGGACCTTCTAATGTATTGTCTGCTGATTGTGGACCAAACTCCGTCTCTGGAGCTGGATGTGTTGACCCCTCTAACTCAGCTTTGTCTCTGGATTCTGACATGTGAGTTTTAGCTGACAGTTCACTGGGGTGGTGATCGTGCTGTTGTGGTGCCAAACAGTCAGTACTGCTGGGTGGTTCAGCTGTTGAATAGCTGATAACTGAAACTGAGAGAGAGCTGGAGACCTGCGCTTTATCAGTCTCTAGGTCTCTGCTAACAATGTTATTAAACGTCTCTGTTGATTTTGGTTCTGACTTTTTGTCGTCTGTCTCTCGTTCTGGAGAGCTGCTGAGCTCATGGCGCCGGACATGACGAATGAGTGCGGAAGATGTTTTGCAAACCTTATGACACTGTGGACAGGTGTGACGTGATATGGCTCTTCTGCTTAGGCGACTTGGACTAGAATTACTCCCCAACAAACCCATTTGTGCCCCCTTTTCTTCATCGTACTTGGAAACCTCTGGCACATCAACTTGCTCTTTAAGCACCACTTTGGGGAGAACACAGGGTGAATCACTCGGCTTGGGATGCTGAACCCTCTGGTGGTCTTCCAACTTATCCCTTGAGGGGAAAGTGGCTCGACAGAAGAGGCATACAAACTCCAGCAGGTGGCTCAGCTCATGTTTGTCCCGCTTTCTAGAGCTTGAGAACCAGCGTCCACATGTACCACACTCTGCTGCATTGCCATTAGTCCAGGGCCGTCTCTTTATTCCTAAAGGAGCCCCAGAGGTAGAGAGAGGAGGCACTGAACAGTGCAGAGGACTGGCAGAAACATTATCACAGGCTGCCTTAACCTCCTCTTCTGAGTCTTTGCTGTTCTCCTTCAAAGGAGAAGAACAACCTTTCTCTTCCTCATCTTCCATACCTCTGCTATTTTTCGACTCTTTTTGGCGCTCATCATCGTTCCGTTCCTCTTCACTATCTAGTGACTTTTCATTTTCTTTATAAGGGTGATTCTTGAGCCTCTCTGCTCTCCTCTTCAGCCTGAGAGAGCGTTTGTATTTCAGTTTTCTCTGCCAACTCTTGATTCTCTGCAAATGTGCTTGGGCCTTTCTCTTGGGCTTGTAGGAGTAGTAGGGACGCCACAAATTATCTTCCATGTCATGGTCGCTCTCAGGCTCACGCACCTCTCGTCGGAAGTAGTACTCCCTCACTCTTTCAGGGGATTTGGATGTCTTTTCTCTTAAATTGTCATCATATTCACCATCATCGTCCTGATCTCGCTCTGGTTCCTCTCTGGTTCTGTGGTGTAGGCGGTGTTTATGGTGATGGGAGTGATACTGGTGTGGTCCACCTGTTTCCCTTGCAGCTAAGGTTTCAATTCGTTTGGTTTTCTGTGTAGGAGGGCCCTTGTCTCTCCTCAGGTCTGTCTCAGAAATGCTACGCTTTACTATGGCTTCTTCACCAATACGTACAGTGATCTGGCACAGTGGCCCGGCCTCTTTACCCTGTGTCCCTACAGTTGCTGGCACATTCTTTGAGCTGGTTTCATCATTCTTACTGTGGGACCTCCTTGATTTGTGTAATAATCTGCCTGTCTCTTGCTCACGTGCACTTTTCAAACTCTGTTCTGTGTTATTTGAACTGTCTCTAGATCTCTTCCTGTGGTTATCTGAACTGTCTGAACTGTCTCTTTTCTTCTTTATTGGCCTTGGGCTGCCCTTCTGTAAAGTCTGAATGTTAGTATTTTCTGGGGATGCGCTGCTTATCAGGCTTTTTTCACTTTCAGCTAAAAGCTGGTTGCTGTGCACGATGACAGAGGACGAAACTGCTGTTCCATGAACTATCACAGAGGGTTTCGTATGTCCATATGTGATTACAGAAGGCATGCTGGCGTCTGTGCCTTTACATGTCTTGTGGGATTTTGTTTTGTTGCTGCTTGATATTTTAAAACTGCCACTGCCACTACTGTGCTCTGAGTGTAGGTCTTCTCTGTCTTGTGTTCCAGCCTGGGGAATGAGGAGGAAGGGAGAGTGTCTGGACTGGTCCCCATGTTCTGCAGACACAGAAACAGAAAAGTCATCTGGGAAAGCATCTGGGTCAGGTTTAACACTCTGTGAGTGGGCTCCGCTGATGAAGTTTTGTATATCCCCAGGACCCAGACCACATCCTAGGCCAGGCAGAGACAAAGGCGGTGTTTCAGCTGATGACAGTAGGAGGCCATTGTGTAGACTGTCACTGTACGTCCTGTAGGGTCTTTTTTGGGAACGCATAGGGAGAAGACGGTAGAGTTTTAGGGCATTTGCTTTCTGCTTATAGCCGCCGTTGGCTGTTTTTTCACTGGAGATGAGGCTGGGATTTATGCCATGGATTGTTTTCTGATGTGTTTTGAGATTGTAGTAGGTGGCAAAGGCATCCCAGCAGAAGATGCACTGGTAACGTCGTTCCCCTGTGTGCCACACCTCATGCTTGGTGCGGTATTCAGCCAGGGCAAAAACTTTGTCACAATAATGGCATGGATATTTGCGTCGCCATGAGTGGACATTTGAGTGACGCTTTAGGCTGGATAGGGTCATGTAGGATCGTTCACACACAGAGCAGAAGTAAATGACATTGCCGTCTACCACCTTCACAAAATGCTGTTCGTCTCCTGCCAGCAACTCTGTGGCTGCTGCATCATCACCTTGGATACGTGCCAGGAGGCTTCGTGCTTTCTTTCCAGGCCGCACCTTACTCATGACTGAGTCTCCAACAATCATCCCCCCCTCTACTCTCACCTCACCTTCCTCCAGTGGCTCCTCCTTTGGCTGCACAGAGAGAGAAGGAGGACCAAGGCTGCTGGAAGGTTGGCCTGACACTTTGCAGGAGGCCTCATGGGACTGGAGTCTCTTACTGTGGATGAAGACTTTGCCACAATAACGGCAACTGAGAGCACGGCTGCCACGATGGAGTCTCATGTGGACTGTGAGGGAGGAGGCCGAGCTGAAGAGGCGATGGCACACGCCACAAATCAGCTCGGGCTTCAGGCTGTCAGACGGAGGATAAGAAGATGAGTGTGGGGGTGCAGTAAGGCCCTCAGATGGGGGAGGAGGAGGTGGTGGTAAGGGGGGAGGAAGGTGAAGAGTAGGTGGGTGAAGGCTTGGGATGTGAGGGCTTCCCACTTTTCCTGCTGGTCTGCCCATTTTCTCTCTTCTCTCTGCATCCTCACTTTTCTGATAGGCTGATGTACCCAGACTGAAGAGTATCTGTGCCGTCTGAGAGGGTGAAGCTGTACCATTGGTAACCCTGTGCCTGTCATCCCATCTGTCCACGCCATAACAACCCCCTAAAGACCCAGTGGAAGATCTTGGGGGTGACCTCTGAAAGTGAGTCTCTGGACTGAGTTTGGAGCACTTCAGGGGAGGTGGAGATTTAATATCCTTTCTAGTAAGTGCATGAACAGTCATGGGAGATGAGGAGGAGGAAGGTGAAGAGGATGGAGAGCTGTCGTGTCTTTGAGGCTTAAAAGGTCTGTGCTTTACATCCATTGTAGCGTCCAGTTTCCACAGTGACCCTTCATCTGAGCTTTTAGAGGACGGACGCCGTCTGTGGGGAGAAGGGGAAGATGATGAAGAGGAACTCCTACAATGGTTTGGAGATGTCACAGAGACTGGAAGGGGTGCTGCACTAAGTGGGAAACTTAGTGTGATTTTCGCATTTTTAGGTCCATCTTCCATGGCCTCCAGCCTGTCTTCCGTCAGGACGTCTACCCGACTTCCATGCCTTTTAACCTTCATTTCTAACAGCTCAGATTTCTCTTCCTCTTCCTTGTCAGGCTCAGTGGTCAGTGAACCACGCCAGACAGGTTTGTGTCGTTCTTCAACTTCTTTTGAACTGTACAAATTCACGGGCAGATGTGAGGTTAAAGACAGTGGTGGGGAAGACAATGGTATCGACCGCCAACTGTGGCGGCACGTGGGGTCCTTAGTTGCAGTGCATGTGAGTGTGCAAAAGGGAGATTGCCGAGAAGTCAGGTGCTGCTCTTTCAGAGGTGATTGAAAAACTCCCACATGGAGGGGGTCCCATACCTTTTCACTGGACACCATGACCAGCCCCCAATGTCTGAAAAAGATGCAAAGAAAAAAAAACATTAGCGCGACAATAAAGACAAGCCAAAGTGAATAACAATTAAATAATGTTAAACTGAACATCACACACACAAAATTTTGCAGAAGTCGTAATGGTGCTCAGGAACACTTGAGAAAATGTTAAGAAAACCCAATGCCCTCAGCCTGGAATGGTGAGGGGAAAGGAGGGAGCGGGCCGGGGGAAGGAATGAATCTGCGGCAGTGCTGGTTTAGATTACAGCGTGCCACAGCCAAAGCCTTCAGAAAAGCATTCCAGGGATCCGTCTCTCTCTCGGCTGTGACACAACAATCCATATGCCTAACTGAAGGCCAATCAGATTTAATCAAGATTCTCTCAGACTAGAGCGTGGACTTGAATGCAGCGCCCTGACACACAACTAAAACAGTCCCACACTTGCAGTATTTGAGCAAGGCCCTTGTTAGCCATTCCTGGCAGCAGCTGGTATTTGCCGGGCATGACTCTGACCATTTATTTGTGAAGGCAAAAGTGGAGAGGAGAGGGGAAGGGAGGGAGATTGCATGCATGTGAACGGGGAGTTTTTTCCGCCCTCTTCATCCGGTACAATCTCAGAGCTGCAGAAGGTGAGAGACAGGCTGTTCTCATTTCTAATATTATCATGCTTGGTAACTCACGCAGTAAAATGTTATGGTTCGTCTTTTCCATGCATAAACACCTGCAGATTTAATGGCAATTGGTAACAGTGTGTTATCACCTATTCAAAGATGAGTATGTGTTTTTAGGCTTGCAGATTAGCGAAAGAAACCGAAATGTGAAGGACCTTAATGATGCGATTTGAAGAAAAATCCTCAGTCATGCTTTTCTCCCTGTGTTTTTCAAGCCACAAAGCAGCCAGGAAGGCAGGCCGCTGTAAAATTCCACAGGCAGCCCTGAACAGGCAGAAACTAGGTCAGCACTGTTATTGCAGAGGGAAGAGGAGTGAGCGAGAGAGAGAGAGAGAGAGCGAGAGGAAGAACGAAGGAGAGACAGGGAGAGAAGAAGAGGTAGAGAGAAAAGGGGTGATAGAAAATGGTAGAGATTAGAGAAAGAGGCAGTGAGAGAGGAGAACAGAGCGAAGGAGAGCAGAAGAGAAGGGATTGTGTGGGGAGGATGAGAACACTGAGACACACGACATTGTCAGACAGACAGGAGCCTTGACAAACTCACACATGAAAGCAACAAGCATGCAGACGGTCACGCATCAAAAACATCTGCTCAATTTAACAACATGCACGGGACTTTTCTGATGCGCAAAAGTGTACATGTGCTGACCGTTGTCTACTTGTGAAAAAGGCAGATGTAAACAAAGCAGCTGAAGTGAGGAGGCCAACTTGTAAATGACATTCAAAGTGAGGAGGCACAGGTGAAATGAGACATACTTATAAATACAAAGAAAAGCAGACATGTTAACTAATGACTTGGGATTTCCCTTGCCAGATTAATGTCTATTTCAGATGATTTGTGTCTTAAAACAAACGGTAAATCATATCTCAGCCAGGCCTGTCATATTGTGTTGCTTTTTGTTAAATCAGCCCTCCACTGTCACTCACATCTGCAGAGCAATAAGTGTTGTGCAGGAAATCCCTTATGGCAAGAGACGGCCTGCTACAAGTGGGCGGACACAGAAAGAGACACTGCTACGGATAAAAAAAAGTACCATCTCATCTGACGCGTATGACGCCTCTTCGCTTGTTGTCTATCTCCCTGTGACGCACACAAGCAATGCACATGCAGAGCATGCAAAACATGTCGCCTGAGCATGACGGGCAGCTCCTAAATGTGCTTGTTCGTGAGACGTGAATGCCCAAGCGTGCAGGACGTACACTGAAGCACTATCATCACACACACCTTTCAATTATGAACACAGATGTGCCCATGAACTAGCAGGGACCCTAGAGCAACAATCTAAGTAAACAGCCAGCCTCTTCCTTTACTCCGCAACAGGATGTTGTGCACAGACAAACATGTGAGTGGACCTGTGAAGTGTCCATCAACTGTATTTACACTGGAGGCACTACAAAACCACACAGCAGGAACAGGTGCTCGACTGGAGCAGAACAAATCAATAACCTGATTTATGTAAACTTGACAGTAAAAAAATATGCTGAAACACTGGGCTTTTGTGTGACAGAGATTCTTGTTTCACAGGCTTAAAGGAAATGGTGACATTATTTCAACCAGCTCTCTTTAATTAAAGCAAAACACGAAGGCCCTGTTTAACAAAAGGGAAGCAATCAAAGGGATCAGTTAAAATAATAACATTGACTGAGATGAGATAAATTTGGTAGACACCATTAGTTAGTTGTCTACCAAATCTATATGGGAAATCACTCAGAGAGAACCCCAGTGCTGAGAGTGGCCTTGCACTACACAAGGCAGAGCGGCAGAGCAGCCTGGCTGCGTTGCCACCTCAAGGCCTTGAACCAAGCATTGGGCAATGTGTTTATTCCACTAAAACTGGTATGCTACTTGGACTAATAACTATTAAGATATTTAATGACCACACTTTTCAGCCAATTTCAGTGAGACTTAAACTTGATGGACTTGAAAATTAAGTGTTTTAAATACAGATCTTGTTGATCCAAACAGAAAGCACGTTTAAAGCCCACTTTTACTACCAGCTGATTTTACTTACAAGTGACAAAGAGCAAACAGCATTTGTGAATGCATTGCTAAGCATCAATAAAATGTCTTTAATTAACAGTTAAACAAGTATTTTTCTCTCCTTCATTCATAATTTTATTTTTTTTTAATTTAATTTAAAGTTTCTCATCACACCTTAATTACAGCATTGTGTCATATTTTGTTAGCTATTTAAACAATGTCTGTGCTTGATTATTCTGAATTAAGTGACAAAGAAGTTGCCTTTATGTAAATCAAGTCACTTGAGAGGTGAAATGACCCCGGCACCTGTTTACAGCCTTGGTGAAATCAGCGGCATTACAGAAACACGGACTAATGACAGGGCAGTTCAGAGAAAGGCCAAATCACTAGGCAGCTGAATGCACACACTGCAACAATCTTGCTACAAGGCAAAAAAAGTAAAATTTGTCCTAAAGACACATGGAAAAGGGAAGTTCAAAAATAAACATGTCTCAGATACTAAAAGAGCATTTCGAAAGTTGTAAAGCAGTTCGAGATCATCTGTCTCATGTGACCCTTGTGGTTCAGCTTATCTACTCTGTGTGTCAGACATCAGCGGTCACTGTTTAACCTAAAATATCAGATAAAATATTTAATGACAAGGAGAAGAGAATCAGAAAAGAAAAACATTTTCCTTTTTTTCAACCATTTCCCCATCTCTGTTATCTCTACCAGAGGTCAGTCGTGTTAATTGATTAATCAGTGCTTCTGCTTCTAAATTACTTTACTCTTAATATTAGCTACACCCTGAATTCAGTGTTTTGCCCTTGGTTTTTTTTTCACAATATCAACACTTTTGGTGGAAATCAAAGGACAATACTCTCAAAACGTTTCAATAAAATAGTGGCCCAGGGTACAAAAGTAGCTGACACAGTGCTACTTTTATACCCTATGATTTGATATCAGGTTCAATGCAAGCAGCCATATCTGCATTTTATAATAAATAATAAACAAAATAAAGTTTGTCAGTAAGAACACACAAAAATCTTACAATTTGTTGATGTAAAAAAGAGTGAATTAATGATATTTTTGTGCGTACCAACTTTAATGGAAATATAATGGAAAAACGGTAAATTAATGTGGCAGAGAATCTCCGATGATTATCACTCACTGCACAGTGTGCGTGCACGAGGCTTTGATAACCTGACGTCTGTTGATGTATAGTATTTAATAGTCTTTAATTCGTCTTTAGTAGTCTTTAATTTGCATGCTCTTCATAATAACTTTTCAAAGCATTGACACTGAATTCACCGACCTCATTTTAAAAGTAGTTGCAGGGAATATATTACTCGTGTGATTAAAAAAAAACAAGCAGCAATGAACCAAAGTTATCCTTTGAAGTCATCTTCAACCGTGATGTGCACTCATTTTTTGTATGTGTGTATATATAAAATTTTAGAAGGAGCGCCTACAAGGCAAAATTTGGGCTTTCCAGCTGGCGAGCCAGCGGCAAAGGAGCGTGTGGGAAGAGGAAGGTAACGGTTAGGCTTTCTACCAGTGAGGGGCAGCCAGAGGGGCCCGAGTTTCTGAGCAGCAGTTGGTCTGTGAGGAGGAGGGTGTATATCTCCACACAAGGGTGTGCACGGGTGGGAGTGGGCATCATTAGAAAGAACAGCTACTGAACTCTTTGCAACCCCCCGGCCAAGGGAGCACGGTGAAGCCAGCCAGATGGGATGGAAGGAGGAAAGGAGGGAGAGACGGAGGGAGGGAAGAAGGGAGGAGGTGTGTGGAAGGGAAGTTGGTATGGGCTGGGGAGTGGCTGAGCAGAGGTGGCACTGGTAATTGTGCTGTGAGTGAGGGAGGTGAGGGAGACTTCAAACACATCTCCTCCATGTTCAAATTTCATGGTTTCCTTGTCTTTGTGATCCCTCTCAGCTTGACTCCCTCTCTCCCCCAGACCCCAACACACAACCCCCACATCATCTCTCCCTCCCCATGTATCAAAATTGTCCTATGGTGGTGGGGTTTTTTTTCATGCCGCTTCACGAAGCAGTAAACATAACACCATTCTCTCTACGGCCCGTTAGCGATCAACTCGCTAACGGTGGGGTGGATATTTCTCATCATGCTGCTCAGAGCATAGGCTGACTCTATAAAGAGCTGTAAAACCACAGACGCAACCCTGGTGACACCGCCACTATGGCTTTTTAGAGCTAATGCTAAAAAAAATATTTTGTGTTTTATGCAGAATTTAGTTGAAGAAGGCACACTTTTTCAGTCCTAACTCACCATGACATTTTTGCACTGTTAATATTTTAAAAAGCCTGCTTAACTTTTGCAGGCCAATGATCACAAAGCCCTGCACCAGTTTCCTGACCACGAGTACATCAGCA